GAAACTGCACCGGGCACCGCAAAGGTCAGACGGGGTTTGAACTTTCTGAGTCAAACCTTTATTTTCAGGTCCTTGAGACGATTAAGTTTTAAATTGTCCAGCAAAGTGCGAAGATCATATCCTCATTTAATTTCAAATACCGCACTTCATAAAACATTCAAAAAAATAAAAAGTAAATTGTTCACATAGACTCTTCGATTACAACGTGGAAAACTATATCGTATTTTTAAAATAACTCTCTTTTTAATTATTCAGAAATACGTCTGGTGCTCTCTAGGCATGGCTTTAGCTGAACCTTAACGGTCAGTTAAAAACAAATTAAAAATGAATTCTTAAGATAGACAGCACGACATTAAAAAACATAAAATTACACTCAGTGTTAATTTGGAGATGCCTCAGTTAAATATGCAAAAAAATTTTAATGGACCTTTATAAGCTAAAGCCTACAGCTTTAAAAAGCTATAATAAATGTAAAGAATCGTAAAAAAAACAGATAATTTGGTCAATGGACTGCTCTTTTTCTCGAGTATTATCGAATCTTTCTATGGGAAATCATAAAATAGGTTATGTTTAATTATGTCCGCGTGGAACGAGTTGTGTTTTTATGTTTAATTTACGTCCGAAGCTGTGTTTATACTTAAGGAATTTGTCAATATTGTTTCAGTATTTGCAAATCATATTAAATGTTTCGATTAATCATTGAGGATCCTTCAAATAATTCAGTTTATTATCTTTGTAAATAAATGTAAATAATGTAGGAACAAACCTGAACATTGTATACCAGCATCTTCATCATGTGTACAATTATGTGATCCCCATCCACTATGTGAACAACTCGAAATATTATTTTCATTTCCTACACAACGAACTTCGTCTAACCATATTCTTCCACTGCCATATGGAACATAACCTCCTAGTAAAGCCCTGCCAGCATAGTCATAACCAAGTTGTCGACAGACAACTTTAGCATCGTTTAAATCCCAGCCATCATCACAAATTGTTCCCCATTCTCCATTGTAAAATACATCCACACGACCTCTGCCAATAGAAGTTTCTGGTCCCCGAAGTCTCACAGAGTTGATAACTGATAAAAAAAGAAAATAAAGAGATATTTGAAAACATAGAAGTCTTCACTCCAAAATATTCTAAGTTACATGTTTATATATAAAGTATCCTGTTATGTTGAGTGCCATTGTAAAATATTCTTGTGCAAAATTAATGATTTAAATTAGTAATAAAAATTTGATAAAAAAAACTTACTTAAGTACAATATCAAAACTATTGGACCATCAGACACACTATTTGAGTTTCATGAGTCGAAAAAAAATTTTATTTAGACCAGTCCTCATTTCTTTATGTAATATAAATAAGTTCTTAACCCGTTAACTTGCGAACTTTCCCCATTGGTTTCCCATTCAATCATTTCATTTTATCGCAATATGGCAAAACTACCCCATAACTTGTTGATACAGGCAAAAAATAAAGAGTAAATAGTTCACTCAGAATTCTCTGTTTAAAACGTGAATTTTATCGCATTTTAAAATAACTGTCTTTTTAATTATTGAGAAATATGTTTCTGATGCTCTCTAGGTATGGCTTTAGCTAAATCTTAACGGTCAGTTAAAAACGAATTTAAAAATGAATTGTTGAGATAGAAAGCACGCCATTACAAGACATAAAATTACACTGCAGTGTAAATTTGGAGATGCTCCTTATTAATGTGCAAAAAAATTTTAATGGAGCATCATAAGCTGCTACAGCTACTCTTTAAATAGCTATAATGAATGTAAACAATCGTAACAAAACTGATAATTTAAGGATTATCATATTCGTCCAAGGAAAAGTTGGCCAATTCAATGCCAATTTTTTCTGGTATTGTCGAATCTTTCTCTGGACAATCATAAAATTGGTAATGTTTAATTATGTACTCGTGGAACGAGTTGTGTTTATTTGTTTAATTTACGTCCGAAGCTGTGTTTATACTTTCGGCATTTGTCAATATCTATTTCAGTATTATAAAATCATATTAAATGTTTCAATTAATCATTGAAGATCCCTCAAATAATTCAGTTTATTATCTTTCTATAAAGAGGTAAATTATGTACATACAAACCTGAACATTGTACACCAGCATCTTCATCATGTCTACAATAATGCAATCCCCATCCTCTATGTGAACAACTCGAAATATTATTTTCGTTTCCTACACAATGAACGTCGTCTAACCATATTCTTCCACTGCCATGTGGAACATTAACTCCTAGTAAAGCCCTGAAATAATAGTCATAACCAAGTTGTCGACACACAACTTTAGCATCGTTTATATCCCAGCCATCATCACAAATTGTTCCCCATTCTCCATTGTAAAATACTTCTACACGACCTCTGCCAATAGAACTTTCTGTCCCCTGAAGTCTAACAGAGTTGATAACTGATAAAAAGAAAATCAAGAGATAATGCAAAACATAGAAGTCTCAACTCCGAAATATTCTAAGTTACATGTATATATAGTATCCTAATATGTTAGATGCCATTGTAAAATATTCTTAGGCTAAACTAATGAATTGAATTACTAACAAAAAATTGATAAAAAAACTTACAGGAGTACAATATCAAAATGTTTAAGACAAGTAGACACTATTTGACTTTCATGAGTCTAAATAATTTTTTATTTAGATCAGTCCTCATTTCTTTTTGTAATATAAATATCTTATCAACACTTTAACTTGCGAATGTTCCCATTAGTTTTCCCTTCAATCATTTGATTTCATTGCCATATGGCAACACTGCTCCATAACTTGTGGAAACAAGCAAAAAAATAAAAAGTAAATTGTTCACATAAACTCTTCGATTACAACGTGGAAAACTATATCGTATTTTTAAAATAACTGTCTTTTTAATTATTCAGAAATACGTTTCTGGTGCTCTCTAGGCATGGCTTTAGCTGAACCTTAACGGTCAGTTAAAAACAAATTAAAAATGAATTCTTAAGATAGACAGCATGACATTAAAAGACATAAAATTACACTCAGTGTTAATTTGGAGATGCTTCTGTTAAATATGCAAAAAAATTTTAATGGAACTTTATAAGCTACAGCCTACAGCTTTAAAAAGCTATAATGAATGTAAACAATCGTAAAAAAACAGATAATTTGGTCAATGGACTGCCCTTTTTCTCGAGTATTATCGAATCTTTCTATGGGCAATCATAAATTAGGTTATGTTTAATTATGTCCTCGTAGAACGAGTTGTGTTTATATGGTTAATTTACGTCCTAATCTGCATTTATACTTAAGGAATTTGTCAATATTGTTTCAGTATTTGAAAATCATATTAAATGTTTCGATTAATCATTGAGGATCATTCAAATAATTCAGTTAATTATCTTTGTAAATAAATGTAAATAATGTAGAAACAAACCTGAACATTGTATACCAGCATCTTCATCATGTGTACAATTATGTGATCCCCATCCACTATGTGAACAACTCGAAATATTATTTTCATTTCCTACACAACGAACTTCGTCTAACCATATTCTTCCACTGCCATGTGGAACATTACTTCCTAGTAAAGCCCTGGCAGCATAGTCATAACCAAGTTGTCGACAAACAACTTTAGCATCGTTTAAATCCCAGCCATAATCACAAATTGTTCCCCATTCTCCATTGTAAAATACATCCACACGACCTCTGCCAATAGAACTTTCTGGTCCCCTGAAGTCTAACAGAGTTGATAACTGATAAAAAAGAAAATAAAGAGATATTGCAAAACATAGAAGTCTTCACCCAAAATATTCTAAGTTACATGTTTATATAAAGTATCCTGTTGGGTGCCATTGTAAAATATTCTTGTGCGAAATTAATGATTTAAATTAGTAACAAAATTTGATAAAAACTTACATAAGTACAATATCAAAACGTTTTGGACCATCAGACACACTATTTGACTTTCATGAGTCGAAAAAAGTTTTTATTTAGACCAGTCCTCATTACTTGATGTAATATAAATAAGTTCTTAGCCCGTTAACTTGCGAAATTTCCCCATTGGTTTCCCATTCAATCATTTCATTTTATTGCAATATGGCAAAACTACCCCATAACTTGTTGATACAGGCTAAAAATAAAGAGTAAATAGTTCACTCATACTCTTCGTTTTAAACGTGGGAATCTTTATCGCATTTTTAAAATAACTGTCTTTTTAATTATTGAGAAATATGTTTCTAGTGCTCTCTAGGTATGGCTTTAGCTAAACCCTAACGGTCAGTTAAAAACGAATTTAAAATTGAATTCTGAAGATAGAAAGCACGCCATTACAAGACATAAAATTACACTGCAGTGTAAATTTGGAGATGCTCCTTATTAATGTGCAAAAAAATTTTAATGGGGCATCATAAGCTACAGCATACAGCTTTAAATAGCTATAATGAATGTAAACAATCGTAGAAAACTGATAATTTAAGGATTATCATATTCCTCCTAGGAAAAGTTGGCCAATTCACTGCCCATTTTTTCTGGTATTGTCGAATCTTTCTCTGGGCAATCATAAAATTGGTTATGTTTAATTATGTACTCGTGGAACAAGTTGTGTTTATTTGATTAATTTACGTCCGAAGCTGTGTTTATACTTAAGGCATTTGTCAATATCTATTTCATTATTATAAAATCATATTAAATGCTTCAACTAATCATTGAAGCTCCCTCAAATAATTCAGTTTATCATCTTTGTATAAAATGTAAATAATGTACATACAAACCTGAACATTGTACACCAGCATCTTTATTATGTCTACAATTATGTGATCCCATTCTCTATGTGAACAACTTGAAATATTACTTCTATTCTACACATTGAACGTCGTCTAACCATATTCTTCCACTGCCATGTGGAACATTACCTCCTAGTAAAGCCCTGAAATAATAGTCATAACCAAGTTGTCGACACACAACTTTAGCATCGTTTATATCCCAGCCATCATCACAAATTGTTCCCCATTCTCCATTGTAAAATACTCTACACGACCTTGCCAATAGAACTTTCTGGTCCCTGAAGTCTAACAGAGTTGATAACTGATAAAAGAAAATCAAGAGATAATGCAAAACATAGAAGTCTAAACCTGAAATATTCTAAGTTACATGCTACATATAGTATCCTAATATGTTAGATGCCATAATTCTAATTAGCAAGTAAATTTTAAAAACACTTTGAGAAAACGACGATTTGATTTGATAGCAAACATGTTTTGACATTATCAGAATGCCACTTTCAGTGCAGAAATGGTTAGTGTTAAGTAATATGATATGTAATATGATAAGGAATAAATTACTTACAAATGAATAATAGGGATTACGATTCAGTTACTAAATACAAAAATATTTATAAAAAGGAAAAGAAAATAAGTATTAAGAACTTATAACAAAAATATTATTATAAAGCAACATAGTGTTGTAGTGGTGGAACTTGGAGCATTTTAAATCGGGATTATTTTATTAATGTGTAGAGCTTCCTCTGATCTTTGGAGGAGAAAGTGGATTGATCAGTGTCGATGATTTTAAAATGAGAAGGTGAGAATTTGTTTTTACAATGAAGGAGAGAGGCTTGAAGATGTTTGTAGATAGTGGAGTTTCTTTTGTCTGTGTGAGTATGTTCCTTTATCCTGGTAGATAATTGGCGAGAAGTTTCACTAACATAGCGGGAATTACATCCCGCATGAAAATTGATAAACTACCATAGATTTGGAAAAAGTTCGCAAAAGGATATTTGATAAACTACTCTGCTATAGATGTGGTGCCCGGGTGGGTCTCTAAACGAAAAATAAAGATTCTTATTTTAAAAGATGTGAAAATAGTTAATAAGAAGTACACCTGTCTATACTCATATTACGTATCATATTAATAACACTAACCATTCTTGCACTAAGATGGTATCTGGATAATGCTGAAATACGTTTGCTCAAAAATCGTCGTTTTTCTCAAGTATGTTAGATGCCATTGTAAAATCTTCTTAGGCGAAATTAATGAATTAAATTAGTAACAAAAAATTGATAAAAAAACTTAAATGAGTTCAATATCAAAACGTTTTAGACAAGTAGACACTATTTGACTTTCATGAGTCTAAATAATTTTTTATTTAGATTAGTCCTCATTTCTTTTCGTAATATAGCATTCATTAACACTTTAACTCTGTGAATACTCCCATTAGTTTTCCATTAAATCATTTGATTTTATTGCCATATGGCAACACTGCCCCATAACTTGTTGAAACAAGCAAAAAAAAGAGTAAATTGTTCACATAGACTCTTCGCTTACAACGTGGAAAACTATATCGTATTTTTAAAATAACTGTCTTTTTAATTATTCAGAAATACGTTTGTGGTGCTGTCTAGGCATGGCTTTAGCTGAATCTTAACGGTTAGTTAAAAACAAATTAAAAATGAATTCTTAAGATAGACAGCACGTCATTAAAAGACATAAAATTACGCTGCAGTGTTAATTTCGAGATGCTTGTGTTAAACATGCAAAGAAAAATTTAATGGACCTTTATAAGCTACAGCCTACAGCTTTAAAAAGCTCTAATGAATGTAAACAATCGTAAAAAAACAGATAATTTAAGGATTATTACATTCCTCCACGGAAAATTTGGTCAATGGACTGCCTTTTTCTCGAGTATTATGGAATCTTTTTATGGGCAATCATAAAATAGGTTATGTTTAATTATGTCCTCGTGGAACGAGTAAGGGGCGGATCTAGGATTTTTCAAACATCAGTCATAAAACGTCGGAGGCGCTCCGCACCTGGGGGGGTCTGAGGCATTCCCCCCTGAGAAATTTTGAATTTCAGAGCCTTGAAAATGCCATTTTCAGTGTTTTAGAGCAATACAAATGTATTTCCTAGGGCACTGTTTTGCGTAAAACAACACATTTTGCTTATATGCTTTTCAAAAAAATGAAGTGAATGAAAATAAATGTTTTACAACATTTAGGCTCATTATCATGCCAAATATATGGCTCATTAGCATGTCTAGGAACGTGAAATTTATTTTACAATAATGCTATTCAAAAACAGATATAGTCTCTTTAAAAATTTCTACCAGTTGTCAGGCATAGACCCCCTAGAGACCCCAGATTCAAACCTCTATGTAATGAGTTAAGTTAGAAATTTGGTAAATTACAAGTGACAGTTCATAGATATAGAAAAGCTCAGACTTTAAACCATGCAAGTTTATTAAACTTTTACCCATCTCCATTGGAGCAGCAAATCCACCTTTGAGAAAAAAACTCAAAATTTTTCTGCCAAAGATTAAGCAAAAATTATTAGAGTGAAAATTGCAGTTATGACAGCTTAATGCCATAAATGTTTATTAGGCATTTCACTAGACTATTATCTCCTGTAAGTATTGCAGTGTAAAGCATATAGCAATCACTAGTAGCATTGTATTTGCAAATACAAACAGAATGTAAATCCACATGTCTTTAATTATATAATTACATGAATGAAAATTGGTTCATGTGTCATTTACTGGTTATGATAAATATATTTCTTAAGTATGATCAAAGCTCGTTTAAATGTAAATCTGAAATAATTTAGATTAGAAATTATAATGATCATGTGAAAACTACCTAGTTAGATCATCAAAATACTTTGTTGTTTTGCCAAATTTCAAGGTTTATTCAGATACATAGAGTTATTACTTTTACTTTATAGAAAATGCCTTCATACATTCAATAGCCCTTTGGAATTTATGGCAAAACAATCTGGTATGAGCCAGATTAACACAATCTTTACATCTCTACATGAGGTGTCTAGTTAGAAAAGGGGACAAATATGTGACATGGGACAACATTTCATGTATGTGAAATACTCCAGGTTTAATACCATTCCAGTCAAATTGTAAAAATAAAAAGCTTCATGGATCAGAAGACTAAAAAAATCACAAGGTTATGAGTAAACAGCTCTCAATGTAATCAATGTTAGTCTTAAACAATACGTAGTATAACTGTCTAATGATTAAATGATCAATGATCATAAACTTATCATAAGCCCCAAACATTCCGTTTAATGATAAAGTAAATAATATAGTATGGCGCCTTATTGCTACAGATTTTGTCCATTGAAATATATGTTTGCAGGAATGTAGATTTATTGCTATATAACGGCAAATGATTTCCAAGCATCAAGAAATTATAGCTAAAAAAGACCTTCGGCAATAAACAATTTTAAATCATCAATCTGCTTCCCATAATGCCATTGACATAAATCGCATGCCACACTCGCATAAATTGACTTTGATATATTATATCCATGCATACACTTCTAATTTGTCCTTTTACTTATTGATTTTGATATAAATTCCTGCTGATAAAATCCAAAACAATGTTGGCTTTCTTTGAACATCAATGACTGAAACGTCGTCATGAGATCGTCTTGCTACATTTATAATTTATCCATAAATTTTTCACCCTCTTGAAAATCTTTACAGTTTGACAGCAGCATCTATGTCAATATATCAATTTGTAAAAGATTTCCAATCCATCTGATTGTAGTTTACTTTCCATCATTCTTATAAAATTACTATGAAACCATCAACATTCAATCAGACAGTGACCTTGACTATTAGTCTGGCTATCAGTCGAAATCCGTCAAACCAATCTACATATAAAAATAAAAATTCAAATGAACTAATTGTAGATAGCAATTGACTCCTTATACGTCCGGCTACCCTATTATCAGTCGAGACCATTCTAAACTGTCCACTGATCTGGCCATTGACCAATAAAATAAGTGTTTTGGCGTTTATAGACTCCTTTATCCGTCGAACCAGTCAAGCCACCTTGCAGCTTATCAGTCGGTTATTCCAAAATAAGCAAAATTCAAATAGATCTGTTACTAACGATATTCATTGCATTAATCATTAGTTTTCAATAATCAATAAAGCTGGATTTTTATCACGAAGTGAATGCGATAATAAAGTAAGAATAATTAATGAATTTTAAATTAATATGAATAGGTAATTTTTGAATTTCAAACATCAGTCGCGCGACGGATTTGACATACTCTAGATCCCCCCCTGGAACGAGTTGTGTTTATATGGTTAATTTACGTACGAAGCTGTGTTTATACTTAAGGAATTTGTCAAAATTGTTTCAGTATTTGAAAATCATATTAAATGTTTCGATTAATCATTGAGGATCCTTCAAATAATTCAGTTTATTATCTTTGTAACTAAATGTAAATAATGTAGAAACAAACCTGAACATTGTATACCAGCATCTTCATCATGTGTACAATTATGTGATCCCCATCCACTATGTGAACAACTCGAAATATCATTTTCATTTCCTACACAACGAACTTCGTCTAACCATATTCTTCCACTGCCGTGTGGAACATTACCTCCTAGTAAAGCCCAGCCAGCATAGTCATAACCAAGTTGTCGACAAACAACTTTAGCATCGTTTAAATCCCAGCCATCATCACAAATTGTTCCCCATTCTTCATTGTAAAATACATCCACACGACCTCTGCCAATAGAACTTTCTGGTCCCCGAAGTCTAACAGAGTTGTTAACTGATAAAAAAAGAAAATAAAGAGATATTGCAAAACATAGAAGTCTTCACTCCAAAATATTCTAAGTTGCATATTTATATATAAAGTATCTTGTTATGTTGGGTGCCATTGTAAAATATTCTTGTGCGAAATTAATGATTTAAATTAGGAACAAAAATTTGATAAAAAAACTTACAAAAGTACAATATCAAAACGTTTTGGACCATCAGACACACTATTTGACTTTCATGAGTCGAAAAAAAAATTTATTTAGACCAGTCCTCATTTCTTTATGTAATATAAATAAGTTCTTAACCCGTTAACTTGCGAATTTTCCCCATTGGTTTCCCATTCAATCATTTCATTTTATTGCAATATGGCAAAACTACCCCATAACTTGTTGATACAGGCAAAAAATAAAGAGTAAATAGTTCACTCATACTCTTCGTTTTAAACGTGGGAATCTTTATCGCATTTTTAAAATAACTGTCTTTTTAATTATTGAGAAATATGTTTCTGATGCTCTCTAGGTATGGCTTTAGCTAAATCTTAACGGTCAGTTAAAACGAATTTAAAATGAATTTTAAGATAGACAGCACGCCATTACAAGACATAAAATTACACTGCAGTGTAAATTTGAGATGCTCCTTATTAATGTGCAAAAATTTTAATGGAGCATCATAAGCTACAGCATACAGCTTTAAATAGCTATAATGAATGTAAACAATCGTAACAAAACTGATAATTTAAGGATTATCATATTCCTCCAAGGAAAAGTTGGCCAATGGACTGCCCATTTTTTCTGGTATTGTCGAATCTTTCTCTGGGCAATCTTAAAATTGGTTATGTTTAATTATGTACTCGTGGAACGAGTTATGTTTATTTGGTTAATTTACGTCCGAAGCTTTGTTTATACTTAAGGCATTTGTCAATGTCTATTTCAGTATTATAAAATCATATTAAATGTTTCAATTAATCATTAAAGCTCCCTCAAATAATTCAGTTTATCATCTTCGTATAAAAATGTAGATAATTTACATACAAACCTGAACATTGTACACCAGCATCTTTATTATGTCTACAATTATGTGATCCCCATTCTCTATGTGAACAACTCGAAATATTGCTTTCATTTCCTACACATTGGACGTCGTCTAACCATATTCTTCCACTACCATGTGGAACATTACCTCCTAGTAAAGCCCTGAAATAATAGTCATAACCAAGTTGTCGACACACAACTTTAGCATCGTTTATATCCCAGCCATCATCACAAATTGTTCCCCATTCTCCATTGTAAAATACTTCTACACGACCTTTGCCAATAGAACTTTCTGGTCCCCGAAGTCTAACAGAGTTGATAACTGATAAAAAAAGAATATCAAGAGGTAACGCAAAACATAGAAGTCTCAACTCCGAAATATTCTAAGTTACATGTATACATATAAAGTATCCTAATTTGTTAGATGCCATTGTAAAATCTTCTTAGGCGAAATTAATGAATTAAATTAGTAACAAAAAATTGATAAAAAAACTCACATGAGTACAACATCAAACGTTTTAGACAAGTATACACTATTTGACTTTCATGAGTCCAAATAATTTTTTATATAGATTAGTCCTCATTTCTTTTTGTAATAGAAATATATTATTAACACTTTAACTAGCAAATGTTCCCATTAGTTTTCCATTAAATCAATTGATTTTATTGCCATATGGCAACACTGCCCCATAACTTGTTGAAGCAAGCAAAAAAATAAAAAGTAAATTGTTCACATAGACTCTTCGCTTACAACGTGGAAAACTATATCGTATTTTTAAAATAACTGTCTTTTTAATTATTCAGAAATACGTTTCTGGTGCTCTGTAAGCATGGCTCTAGCTGAACCTAAACGGTCAGTTAATAACAAATTAAAAATGAATTCTTAAAATGGACAGCACGACATTAAAAAACATAAAATTACACTCAGTGTTAATTTGGAGATGCTTCTGTTAAATTGAAAAAAAAATTTAATGGACCTTTATAAGCTACAGCCTACAGCTTTAAAAAGCTCTAATGAATGTAAACAATCGTAAAAAAAACAGATAATTTAAGGATTATTACATTCCTCCACGGAAAATTTGGTCAATGGACTGCCCTTTTCCTCGAGTATTATCGAATCTTTCTATGGGCAATCATAAAATAGGTTATGTTTAATTATGTCCTCTTGGAACGAGTTGTGTTTATATGGTTAATTTACGTCCGAAGCTGTGTTTATACTAAAGGAATTTGTCAATATTGTTTCAGTATTTGAAAATCATATTAAATGTTTCGATTAATCATTGAGGATCCTTCAAATAATTCAGTTTATTATTTTTGTAAATAAATGTAAATAATGTAGAAACACACCTGAACATTGTATACCAGCATCTTCATCATGTGTACAATTATGTGATCCCCATCCACTATGTGAACAACTCGAAATATTATTTTCATTTCCTACACAACGAACTTCGTCTAACCATATTCTTCCATGTCCTTGTGGAACATTGCCTATTAGTAAAGCCCTGCCAGCATAGTCATAACCAAGTTGTCGACAAACAACTTTAGCATCGTTTAAATCCCAGCCATCATCACAAATTGTTCCCCACTCTCCATTGTAAAATACTTCCACACGACCTCTTCCAATAGAGCTTTCTGGTCCCCGAAGTCTAACAGAGTTTATAACTGATAAAAAAAGAAAAAAGAGAGATATTGCAAAACATAGAAGTGTCCACTCGAAAATATTCTAAGTTACATGTTTATATATAAAGTATCCTGTTATGTTGGATGCCATTGTAACATTGTTACATAATTACAATATCAAAACGTTTTTAGCCATCAGACACACTATATGACATTCATGAGTCAAAAAAAATTTTATTTAGACCAGTCCTCATTTCTTTATGTAATATAAATAAGTTCTTAACCCGTTAACTTGCGAAATTTCCCCATTGCTTTCCCATTCGATCATTTCATTTTATTGCAATATAGCAAAAGTACCCCATAACTTGTTGATACAGTCAAAAAATAAAGAGTAAATAGTTCACTCATACTCTTCGTTTAAAACGTGGGAATCTTTATCGCATTTTTAAAATAACTGTCTTTTTAATTATTGAGAAATATGTCTCTGGTGCTCTCTAGGTAAAGCTTTAGCTAAATCATAACGGTCAGTTAAAAACGAATTTAAAAATGAATTCTTAATATAGACAGCACGCCATTACAAGACATAAAATTACACTGCAGTGTAAATTTGAAGATGCTCCTTATTAATGTGCAAAAAAATTTTAATGAAGCATCATAAGCTACAGCATAGAGCTTTAAATAGCTATAATGAATGTAAACAATCGTAACAAAACTGATAATTTAAGGATTATCATATTCCTCCAAGGAAAAGTTGGTCAATTCACTGACCATTTTTTCTGGTATTGTCGAATCATATTAAATGTTTCAATTAATCATTGATGATCCCTCAAATAATTCAGTTTATCATCTTTGTATAAAAATGTAAATAATGTAGATACAAACCTGAACATTGTACACCAGCATCTTCATTATGTATACAATTATGTAATCCCCATCCTCTATGTGAACAGCTCGAAATATTCCTTTCTTTTCCTACACATTGAACGTCGTCTAACCATATTCTTCCACTGCCATGGGGAACATTACCTCCTAGTAAAGCCCTGAAAGCATAGTCATAACCAAGTTGTCGACAAACGACTATTGCATCGTTTATATCCCAGACATCATCACAAATTGTTCCCCATTCTCCATTATAAAATACTTCTACACGACCTCTGCCAATAGAACTTTCTGGTCCCCGAAGTCTAACAGAGTTGATAACTGAAAAAAAAAGAAAATCAAGAGATAATGCAAAACATAGAAGTCTCAACTCCGAAATATTCTAAGTTTCATGTATACATATAAAGTATCCTAATATGTTAGATGCCATTGTAAAATCTTCTTAGGCAAAATTGATGAATTAAATTAGTAACAAAAAATTGATAAAAAACTTACATGAGTACAATATCAAAACATTTTAGACAAGTAGACACTATTTGACTTTCAGGAGTCCAAATAATTTTTATTTAGATCAGTCCTCATTTCTTTTTGTAATATAAATATCTTATTAACACTTTAACTTGCGAATGTTCCCATTAGTTTTCCATTCAATCATTTGATTTTATTGCCATATGGCAACACTGCCCCATAATTTGTTGAAACAAGCAAAAAAATAAAAAGTAAATTGTTCACATAGACTCTTAGCTTACAACGTGGAAAACTATATCGTATTTTTAAAAGAACTTTGTTTTTACTTATTCAGAAAGACATTTCTGGTGCTCTCTAGGCATGGCTTTAGCTGAATCTTAACGGTCAGCTAAAAACAAATTAAAAATGAATTCTTAAAATAGATAGCACGACATTAAAAGACATAAAATTGCACTGCAGTGTTAATTTGGAGATGCTCCTTTTTAATATGCAAAAAAATTTTAATGGAGCTACATAAGCTAAAGATTTCAGCTTTAAAAAGCCATAATTAATGTAAAAATCGTAACAAAACAAATAATATAAGGATTATCACATTCCTCCACGGAAAATTTTGTCAACAGGCAGCCCTTTTTCTCTGGTATTATTTAATCTTTTTATGGGCATATTTATAATAGGTTATGTTAAATTATGTCCGTGTAGAACAAGTTATGTATGTTTAGTTATAAATCCATACCCTGGCACGAGTTACATTCTCCTGAGTATCCTTCCATACACGTGCAGTTTAATGATCCATTAATTTTACGATAGTAAGTGTTGGGTCCACATAAAGGAAAGCGAAAAGTGTTTGTCACTAGATTAATAAAATTAAAAATAAAATCAACTATGGTTTTCAAAAGAAAACATGTTCTTTCTCAAAGAACACAATTTGTCATTCAGTATCCACTATGACGTACCCAGCTAGGAAATTTGTGATTTATTGTTGGTATCTTTGGTGTTCAGGAATATTGTAAAAACAAAACAATTAAATAAATGATGAATATTTACAGAGTATGAACAGATTTGCTGGCTGTTTGGGATACTATAAAGGATGTATCTAAAGAAGTTAGATAATTAAAAAATGTTCTGGAAATTATCAATTGATCAATAGTTCTAACATAATGTGCCAAAGCTCCTGTATTTTGGCATTGCCTTGTCTTGATTATTTAAAAGTAAAATGAATTAAGATTTAATTTCGAAAACCATGAGAGTACTTCGTAATTTTCTCACTTTGAACTGCATGCAGAAAGAAAATCAAAATTTTCAAATCTAGTTTAATCCAAAGATTTAAAATTTTGAGCTCTGTTTTGCAATGTACTAAATATTTAGAAGATTTGATAAATATTAAGCTCACTGCACAACATGCTCAAATTTGACGTTTTTGTCTTTCATTCTATTTTCATGAATTTCTTTCTTACTTAAGACTGATTACAAGCCAGAGTGATTGTTGAAATGATGTAAGAAACAATAAAGATGTAAATTTAACACCTAACAAATTTGGCAAGAATAGACAAACTGCAAAAACATTCATATTAGACACTTTGCACTTTGAACTTAATGTTTATCAAATTTTCTATAATTTGGGAAGGAAGAACAACCGTTTAATAAGGCAATGTAACTTTGAACTTTTTAAGGTCTTTCTGTTTTATGTACATTGGCGTGGGAGTTTTTGTAAGTCTTACGTTATTATGTCAAATAAGTAAATATTTAACTACCGTTTGAGTCAGGAGTGATACTGTGTACAGCTACATCAAGATAACCGTTGTTAAGAGGAAGAAAAAATTTACGCCTCGTACGTTGATCTGTTGTGTTATGGACACTAATGACACTTCGTCCAACACTAGTCATGATATAAATGAAATCCCCAAATAATGCCATGGGACCTCCTGAAGTTCCAAAATCAATTACATTATGGGAGTAGTAATCACAAGAAAAAACATTTCCGTTTGACACTCGCCAATAAATCTTCTCTTTAGCCATGTCAAGCGTTAGATCATGTGCTATTGATTGAAGTGAAACTGAAAAAATATCATGTTTATTTGCAGTCATGCTCCATAACCATAAGAAAAGTTCTGTACTTTCTGCCAAGAATAGATACCTTAATAAAAATATTTGTTTTGTACATTAGTTTTCTCTATACGTAATGAAATACATAAACAATAAACAGGCTAATATATACATAAAAGAAAAGATAGATTTTTTTAATTTAGACAAAGATGTTGTCAAAGTATTCAGAACTACTTTCATATATAGACGGTTTAATGGAACATATTCATGAAATTTGATAATATAGCAACATAAAGCTATTGTAGCTAACAGGAAAAGATCATCTTTAATATTTGAAATCCCTCGTTTGAAAACCGAACTAAAATATATGAAGTAATTAAACATTGCATGTGATTCAGAGCATAATAAATGTAATATGTTATTTTTATTCACATAACTTCTATAATGATTGGTATTGTTTGAGATTATTGTCGGAATGAGTAATGCTGTAGTTTGGAGTGGCTGCTGAATGAATTGTGTTGGTAATTGATAATGCTAAAATTACCTGATGCGTGGAAATTTTGTTCGAATTGAAAATTTGGTGTTGGTAAATGATATGCACCATTTAATGTAGATATAAATTTAAGAAAGCTTTGTCATTTCAGTTTAAGCTTTCTTAATTTTTCAGTTTCATCTTGCATGAAAAGTAGCAGCTCCTTGGATGGATCATCGTCTACAAATGTCTTTAAAAGAGCTATAGCTTCACAAACATTGTCTTTTGTTGATACTTTTTCAGTTTGTTTGGACAAACGATTTTTACAACTATCTTAACCTTCTCTATTCAATTGTCAAATTTCTTCATTGTTTTTCTGAAAAATTAGAAAAATTGACACTGGAGCTAGCGCTATTGGTATCATTTGAAAATGATGATTCTATTGCCATGTCATGTTCGTGTTTTTAGGATTCTCTTGATTAGACAAGCTGCAAAAACTGCTTGAACACTATGGCCCTTACTTTATCGAAAAAGTTTGATGCAACTGGCAGTTTTAATTATCATCGCAGCATATTTGCATTCTCTTATACATTTCTTAAATATATTACTCATTGAGTAACAGTAAAGTCCATGTCTTCTTGTCATTCATTTCACCTTGCCCCGAACTCTTTAAAAACTTTCTCGTATATACTAACGTTCTTTTGGTTTTTTGTGTTCGTGAAAATTAGTTTTTTCTTGTAATATGATAAAAATTAATGGCCAACATAAAGTTTTAACTAGAGCCATAGAAATAGACCAAAAGTTGTATAATGGAATTTATACCGACGTTTCGTACTTACTCAAGACATATTCAGTCAAATTATAATTTATAATGAGATGTTAAAACAAGATATTGTATTTACAAAAGGTGTTAACTTACGACTTAAGGAGGCGGTGCAAAATGGAATACATGATAAAGAAGTTGAGAAGTAAAATA